CTAGTTGCCGTATGTGGGACGCGGCCTCAGCATGGCTGGAGAAGCGGTGCGTCGGTGCGTGCCCGGGATCCGAACCCGGGCCGCCAGTAGCGGAGCGCACACACTTAACCGCTAAGCCATGGGGCCGGCCCATCTACTAGGTTCTTTTGCTGTTGGGCAGGCAGTGTATTTCTTGGTTACAAACTTTAGTTGAGCCCATTTATGCTGTAACTTGCAAATTGGCCCACCTTGAATGGGTACCCCTACCACAGAAGGCTCTAGACCCTGTTTAAATTGCCACACAGGGGCCGGCCCCGTGGCTTAGCGGCTAAGTGTGCGCGCTCCGCTGCTGACGGCCCGGGTTTGGATCCCGGGCATGTACCGACGCACCGCTTCTCCGGCCATGCTGAGGCCGCATCCTACATACAGCAACTAGAAGGATGTGCAACTATAACATACAACTGTCTACTGGGGCTTTGGGAAGAAAAAGGGAAAAGAAAGGAGGATCGGCAAAAGACGTTAGCTCATGGCCAGTCTTCCTCAGCAAAAAAGAGGAGGATTGGCATGGATGTTAGCTCAGGGCTGATCTCCCTCACAAAAAAAAAAAAAAAAAAAAAAATTGCCATACAACAGGCACTCCTGTTAGTGCCCTCAGGATTTCCTTCAATATAGAGGCCTCAGTGACCTCCTTTCATGCCTCCTGGCGTACCCACGATGGCCTTAAGTTATCCATAGGCGTCTGGTGCAAGAAACTGCTTGAGGCTCCATGCTACATACCCTTAAGAGCTACAGTTACCATCACGTACTGGGCTTTCTTGAAAGTGGAGGCACGTAAGCACTGAGCATGTGACCTTCTACCAAGCTGTCCATTGTACCTTTGTCCGGGAAACCACCCCCCTCAGGTCAGTATACCCACCAACACTTCCATGTGATATGATGGAGTCAAACTTTGGCTCTCCAACTTAAGTCACCTGGAGGAGGGCCTCTGTTCTATTCAGTCCCCTGAAAGACTCTGTAGTTTTAGAAGAGGTCACCATTCTCCCAGGTGGAGAGTTCCCTCACAAGTTCCTCAGGATTAACTGAATGCACAGCTCTGGGGAGTGGATAGACTTTAAGGACAACATCACATATTCCTACATGATGGGGCTCAGTGGAGAGCTGCTGCTCTTCATCCCTAGTTGGGACATCTCTGATAAAGGACCAAACCCAAGGGTCACACAGCTAACCAGATGTCAGGTAGTCATCTTACTGCTGGCCCCATCTACGTATGTACACAGACTTTTGTACGATTGTCTGAGAGTTGCAGCTTTGTGGTAAAAAAAAAAAAAAAAAAAAAAAAACTGTAGGAATCTCTTGACTCAGAGATACCCAAAATATAAATGTAGGTAACCCTCGTTGTACCTGAACTAGGACCACAGTACAAGGACTCAACAGGACACTCCTCATCCACGTTGGAGTTTTGACGCTGCTGATAGTAACCATGGCACCTCTCAGGGTATACAGTGCGCTACTCTCCAACAAGGCATTCGATGAAAGTTTCACCTCCCTTATGGGTCTCAGGCTCATAGAGCACCATACTGGCTTATTGAAATCAGATGGATGAGAGATGTCCTATTTCAGTCATCAGTCATCAGGGATGAGTTGTTATGAGGTTGTCTTAATCTTTTTTTTTTAATACACTTCAGTTATTTCAGAGCAGTTTCATGTTTCCAGAAAAATTGATGAGAGGGTACAGAGAGTTCCCACATAATCCTTCCGCATTCACACAGTTTGCACTACTTTTTTTTGTCTTGTGTGACAGTGGTACATTTGTTGTAGTTACTCACCAATATTGATACATAAAAGTGCACAGTTTACCTTAGCATTGACTCTTTATATTATAGGATCTGTGGGTTCTGGCAAATGTTTAATGACATATATCCTTCATTTTTGTATCATACAATGTGGTTTCACTTCCCTCAAAATCTCTTATGCCCCACCTATTCATTCATTCTTCCCACCCACCCTCAAATCCTTCACAACCAGAGGTCTTTTTAATGGCTCATCATTTTTTCCTTTCCAGAATGTTAGGTACTTGGAATGGTACAGTATGTAGCCTTCTGAGATTGGCTTTTTTCACTTAGCCATATACTTTTAAGGTTCCTCCATGTGTTTTCATGGCTTGATACCTCATTTCGTTTCATCACAGAACAGCACTTCATCATATGGGATATACCAATGATTGATTATCCGTTCGATTCTTGAAGGATATCTTGCTTAACTCCAACTCTTGGCAATTAAAAAATAAGTGCCTATAAACATTCCTTATATAGGTTTTTGTGTGAACATAAGGTTTTAATTCATGAAAGTTAATACCAAGGAGTGTGATTGCTGGATCTTACTCTGTGTAGTAAGAGTGTGTTTAGTTTTGACAGAAAATTCTTGTGTTCCGGTGTAGGCATACCAATTTCCATTCCCAGCAGTAATGAATAAGGATTACCTGTAGCTTCACTTTTCACCAATATCTGGTGTTCTGAGTGTTTTGAATTTTAGCCTTTTAATAAGTGTGGAATCTTTGTTGTTTTATTTGTAATTCCCCAAAGATATAAGTTGAGCATGATTATATTGCTTATTTCCCAGCTGTATATCTTCTTTGGTGAGGTTCTATTTAGATCTTTTGTCCATTTTTAGTTGGATTGTTGTGTACCTGACTACTTCTAAAGGACTGGGGTACTTTAGAAACAGTATGGCCAGTTGGACCTTATTAATAGTTGGATTTCCACAATTCTCCTGGACACCAATGTCCGATGTTGGGAATGGAAGAAAAAGCTTCCAGTTCTTCTCTTTATTTTTATTCATTAAAACTTTATGCACATTTGATACTCTGTTTCATAGAGTGCTGTTAATGGTGGGTAGTAAGGAAAGAGATGAGTTTTTCTCACAAGGTATTGATGGTCTTAAAATTTGTTTCATTTGTGTAGAATTTCTGTCACTTCCTAGCATGCTTGGACCCTCCTATTAGAGAGTAATAAGATGTAATGTGATCCAGTAAAAGTGTGTAAATAATTTCCATGTGCTCATGATGCTGTTAAATTTATAAGGAAGTGTGGACAGAGAGTAACTTTCTGATGATCAAGTCATAGAATAAATGTTTGGAGATGACAGAATCATACATAATCTTCCTACAAATGGAGCATAGATGTTTAGTGCTCTCAGTCTCATGCATCCTACTGTACACATATTTGTGATATTTTAGGACTCAGTGGCCTTTGAGGATGTGGCTGTGAACTTCACCCCGGAGGAGTGGGCTTTATTGGATCCTTCACAGAGGAAACTCTACAGAGATGTGATGCAGGAAACTTTCAGGAACCTGGCCTCAATAGGTAAGATGATGACTTTAACCTTTACTCGTCAATTAAGAGAATAAGTGTTTCTTTCCCGTCAGCATTGTTCCAAGATGTGGAATATGGAAAGGTAGGATGTTAGTAAATAAATCGGGCATGGTCATAGCTAACAATGGACATAGAATCTAATAACTTTTCTATAATTTCTAATATTTTGGAATCTTTTTTCTCAGTCTGCATTTTACAAAAAAATGGGGAAGATCATGACATTGATGATCAGTACAAAAACCGGGGGAGAAAACTAAGGTAAGTCACTCTCAGAATAGAAAGTCGTAGCTCACGAGAATTCTGTTATGTTATGAAATTTTAAAAGAAGGAAACAAAACAACCCTGCTTCAAATGTATTTATTCTTAGAACATTTTCACCAGAAATACTTTGTATATGTGACATAGATGTTCAGTGTTTGCAAAGTAGTTCACTTGGAAACAGTATTAATAAACCCTATATATGAATATCACTGTTTGGATAATAGCAAGGGTGAAGTCCTCTTACAGAGCATTCAGTGTATTCAATTTCAGAGAATCCAGACAAGGCAGAAAACCAACACTTTTCCTATAAGTCATAATAAACATAGCAAACATAAAATCATTAATAACGTGCTTCTCATTTTTTACAGAAATTGTATGGTAGAGAGACTCTGTGAAGGTGAAGAGGGTAGTCAGTGTGGAGAAAACTTCAGACTTATTCCAAATCTTAGTCTGAACAAGAAGACTACTGGAGTGAAACCACATGAATGCAGTGCATGTGGAAAAGTCTTCAAACATCTTTCATCCCTTTATAGGCATATCAGATGTCACACTGGACACAAACCATATGCATATCAGAAATATGGAGAGAAGCCATATAAATGTAAGGAAGGTGGGAAAGTCTTCCGTTATGTCCAATTTTTTGAAAAACATAAAAGAAATCACAATACAGAGGAAAACAATCAATATAAGGAATGTGAGAAGACCTTTAGTTGTTCCACTTCTTTGAGAAGACATGAAAGAATTCGCACCAAGGAGAAACCCAAACAGTGTAAACAATGTGGAAAAGCCTTTAGGTATCATCATGCTTTTCAAAGGCATGAAAAGACTCACATAGAAGAGAAAACCTATGAACGTAAGCAGTGTGGTAAAACTTTCATTTCTCATCAAGGTCTCCGAATACATGAAGGAGGAAATCACAATGGAGAAAAGCCCTATGCTTGTAAGGAATGTGGGAAAGCCTTCCGTTATCGTGCATCCTTTCACATACATGAAAGAATTCACACTGGAGAAAAACTCTATGAATGCAAGGAATGTGGGAAAACCTTTATGTGGTTCAAAAGCTTTCGAAGACACATGGTAATGCACAAGGGAGATGTTCCTTATATGTGTGAGGAATGTGGAAAAGCCTTTAGTTGTTCCACTTCATTGCGAAGACATGAAATAATTCACACTGGGGAGAAACCCTATCAATGTAAACAATGTGGAAGAAGCTTTAGGTATCATCAGACTTTTCGAAGACATGAAAGTACTCACACAGGACAGAAACCCTATGAATGTAAGCAATGTGGTAAAGGTTTTGTTTCTCACCAAGGTTTCCAAACACATGAAAGAAATCACACTGGAGAGAAACCCTACAAATGTAAACAGTGTAGTAAAGCATTCAGTTGTCCCTATTCTCTTCAAAAACACGAAAGAATTCACAGTGAAAAGAAACCCTATGAATGTCTGGAATGTGGCGAAGCCTTTAGTTATTCCACTTCATTGCAAACACATAAAAGAACTCACACTGGAGAGAAACCCTATCAGTGTAAAACATGCAATAAAGCATTCACTTCTTCCAGTTCTCTACGAACACATGAAAGAACTCACACTGGAGAGAAACCCTATGAATGTAAAAAATGCAGTAAAGCATTCAGTTGCTCCAGTTCTCTACGAACACATGAAAGAACCCATACTGGAGAGAAAACCCATGAATGTCAGGAATGTGGGAAAGGATTCATTACTCTCGGTTCATTGCGAATACATCAAAGGAGTCACACTGGAGAAAAACCCTATGAATGTAAACAATGTGGTAAAGCCTTCAGTTATTACCTTTCCTTAAAATTACATGGAAGAATTCATACTGGAGAGAAACCCTATGAGTGCAAGGAATGTGGGAAAGTCTTCTCCTATCACCAAACCTTAAAAATACACTTGAGACTGCACACTGGAGAAAAGCCCTATGAATGCAAGGAATGTGGGAAAGCCTTCTCTTATCACCAAGCCTTAAAAATACACCTGAGACTACACAATGGACAGAAATCCTATCAATGTAAACAATGTGGTAAAGCCTACAAATATTATGGTTTCTTACAAATACATGAAAAAAGGCATACTGAAGAGAAACCCTATGAATATCAGGAATACGGGAAAGCCATTATTTCTTGAAGAAATTTTCCAGGACATGTAAGGATGCACACAAGAGAAAAATGTAAATGTGAAGAATGAGAAAGCCTTCTGTCATCTCAAGTCCTTACGAAGACGTGAAAGTACCCACTTGATAAAAACCTCTTGCATGTGAAGCAGCCTGGGGAATACTTCAATTGGCCCTCACCCTTATATGCAAAAACTCCCACTGAAGAGAATTGAAGAAACATGGGAAATTAATCCATATATAATTAATTATATATGGATTAATTTTATATAATTATATATATTTATATATATACAATTATATAATATATATAATCCATATATAATTAATCCATATATAATGTTCTGGAAAATTTTTAACATGAAAGAGTTGTTTTAAAAGTTGTAAGTATATTGTGTTTACCAAGCCCCTTTCTTAAAATGCAACATTGGACTGGATTTCTACTAATTACTTACTTTTAGAAATGAAGCAAGAGTTCTGTGAGTTGTCTTTCAAAAACAGTACATAAGATTAATAGGTAATGCTTTTTCCTTAAATTGGTTAATATTTTCTCTTTCCGTTTTGCAGCCTGTTGGATCCATGGGTGAATTGAGGTGTATTTCTAATATGCAATTAGGCTTAATTTTTTTAATAATGTTGTATTTGTTGTGTTAAGGGGCTATTGAAAATTGCTACTTTGGTTTTTGTTGGGATTTTCCTACTCGCCATGTGTAGAAGTGCCTAGATATCCCTAACCCATTATATATATTGTACCTTTCTTACTGAGAAAGCTTTTTTGAGGTGGTGGGTGTGGGAGCCTTTTTCTGTTTTGCATACTATTAACATTGAGAATAAATTTGTACATATGGCAATTTCATCAAAAAGTATAGTTTCATGTGAATTATTTTCATATTTTGGCCTCTGTTCATCCTTCCTTCCAACTGATATTTGGTAGACTTTGAATTAGTTAGACCTGTGAGAGGGCAGCAAAATCTAGAGCTGGCCGTATCACCTAGATTGCATTACGTCAATAAAAGTGTAATGTTAGGAACTAGATTTTTCAGTCCACCTCCTTTATGGTTCCGTGTTAGAATTCACCAGTAGCCTCACTTGCACGGGATTTGGAAGACAGAAGCAAAAAGGCGTTAGTCAGATTTTGGAGCCACTATACTGGGAGAGAGACAGATGAATAGGAGCTTCGAGGACACCATGCTCCAGCCCACTTTCCAGATTCTTTGCCTTTCCAATCAAGAGTATCCTCAAAACTAACACCAACGGTTTGATTTCTATTTTCTTAGAGATGTAGGTTTCCACTGAGGTTTTAACAAGTTTCACAGCAAAGATGTATCAGAGTTTGGGTTTTTCTTTAAGCCCTGTTATGTGCACCAGGAAACTAATTCAGTCTTTTGTGCTTGGGAGTATTCTCTGATTCCCTTTTTCTCTAGATGATATTTGTATAAGGTCTAATTTGTATAGGAAACACCTTATGGTGTTACCAGTGCTAGTGAGCATGTTTCCTGATTCACCATGACATCTACAGTGGGGCAGTAAAAAGAAGGACGTGGGAGTTTGTTTTTCTGCTATACTGTGCAGCAGCTGCCTTGACTCCTTGCATGTGAGAATAATCACTTTCCTCCTGTCAGCAAACCTGTGGGTATTTCCTAGGCAAAACTCGAAGTACTTCTCTCTGCCACGGCTAACATAGTGGCCAACCAGTGCACCTAACGTGAAAAAACGTCACTGGTAACATAATCGATGGACCTACTTTCCAAGCCTAGGAAGGTGTCCCTAGAGCTGAAAGCAAATGGACTTCAAAGAGCCCTTTACCCCCGCCACTAGTTCCTTGCTGTGCTCTGACCAGGATACTTATATAGACAAATTCCTCATCCTATCATACATGACCCTACTGAAGCCAATATGCAAGGACTGCCCAAGACACTCTAGGAATTATTGATATTATCAACTCAAGCCTAGAATACACAACATTAGGCTCTTGGAAAGGGCATTCAGTGGACCTTGTACCTCTCTTTTAACCCCCGTCTACAACCCTCTTAGGATGTCCTAATGTCTTCAAGCTTGCTTTGTTATAAATAGGTCTTCCTGCTGTTCGAGAGATTAGTTACATTCAATCCCCAGTGCTTGGGGCCTGTTACTTTGTTCTGATCATCAGGGTTACTGGCACCTTTTAAGTAGAGTATTTCTATACTAGACTTTTCTGTCAGAATGGTCACTCCTATAGGACTTTGGTTTACTGTAATAGTGCCTCCTGGCCACCATTTTTATATCCCACTCCTGGATCTTCCTCCTAACATCACCTGTAGTCTGTGTACCTTGCATGTCAGCATTTCATTTTTGACACTCCTTCAAAACCCCTTCAGCCCATGCAACACAGATACACTGTTTTCCTACCATTTTCTCTCATGTGCTCATTGTTGTCGGAGTCACTGGTACTGACCTAGGCACACGTGATGTTTAACACATACATAATTAATGCCAGCCCCAAAAATGTCCCAAACACTCAAAATAACATGTAGCAGGCAACTGATGTTTGAGATGTTTTCCATGAAGGAAAACTCCCTGGCAGCCATCATAGCTGATGACCACTTGCCTTGGACTATTTATTAATCAGCCAGGGAGAGTTCTTTTTCCTTAAAAGGGCTGTTTGCTGCATATGGGTAGGCGATGCTAGCAATGTGACACCAATAATACAACAAATGAGACAGCAGAGTAAATAATAACATTACTAAAATAATTGGGTTTTTTTGGGGGGAGGGGGTGGAACTATACTGACACATTTTCCTGGATCTGCAACCCAGAGATGACTGGATGCATTTGTTTTTTTCAGGCTTTGTCATCTTAATTATAATATATTGCTTGTGCTTTTCACATGGCTTTTAAATTAATAATGAAATTCATTTAAAGGAGATGAGGCATCCAAACCTCAGGAGGGAACTTGAATAAAGATGCTGACCTGTTTTGATATTTGACCCTTAATCAGCATTAGATACCTGTTCACCCTGCCTGGCCCACAATGGGTAAACAAGTGGCCATGTTGACACATGCCTCTTTCTGTGTGCATCAGTGGGTAGGAAGGTCAACCCTTGAAAACGTGCAGCTTCTAACCCTACATATCTCAAAGAGTCAAGCCATTCTTTGTAGAAGCCACCTGTACCTTGCCCTACTCTCCTTAGAAATTACCCTTGGGTCATAATCATTTTTCTATTCACTTGATGCATGTGGTGACATAGTCTTGACATTCAGTCCCATTTTAGCTAAGGCATTAATCTTGCTCCTAAGAGGGCAATGATAAAACAGAAAGTAACCAATGGAGAATGTCTTTGTGGTGAGAAACGGCTGTGCAGTGTAGAGAATTTTGAAAAGATGAGGATAAGAAATCCAAATGCAGAGGTATCATTATGATAATGTTTCTAGATGCAATGGTCACCAAAGAAAAACTTTGAAACTACCCACATGGGCAGTAGTTGTAGAATCAATCATTGGAAACAGTATAGTCTCCCAATGGAAAATACAGAGCAACAGAAGTGAGTGGATGGTTCTTGTTCCAGTATATGAAGAGCTTGGAGTCATCCTCATCTTCAGTAAATAAAAAATGCTGAACAAACTGAAAATTAACACCTCTTCTTAGATCCATGAGAGATTTTAGGTTGTATGGCAAACCAGTGCCGCCAAAACAAACTGGTGAATATGGAGAATTACCACTTAACCAAAAGCAAAGCCACTAGAGCCAATGACCTCTAGGAACACATAAACTGTTAGAGATGAATTGCTGGAGACACAGTATGGACTAGCTTGAGAGTTAAAAGCTTTTAAGGGGTTCCGTCTTAGGGTTCCTCCCACAGTTAATGAATTTTTTTTGCAGGAGCCCAAACAGGTTCTCAGAGTGAAGATCAAAAAAAAAAATAGCCTCATGCTTCTTGCAGGAAATGGGAAAAAAAATTTTGATTATACGCACAAGGCGTTCTATTTTCTGTAACTTAGGCCATCCCTCAAAGAAAATTTGCCAAAGCCTTATCTAATTGGGCAAAAAGCAGTTGTGCCACTCCCACAGCCTACAGGTTTCCTCTCTTGTGGAAGGGGAGAAATAAATGCTAAGAACCTGTTCTGAAGTTCGTAGTGCAGGGATTGTGTTCTACAAAAATAGTACAGGTTTAGTCATAACATAATAGAACATTTTCCCACCGAAATACCCTCCCAACATAATGGCTCCAGTATAAAAACAAAGTGTTAAAACAGCTGTAAGACACAGACTTTACTTAAGATTGAGTTTCTAGGGATGCCCAACCACACCAGAGGAGAAAAATACAAGAACACTAGAGGATATTGAAGCCCCTGCCACCTACAGCTATGGCAAACATTAAATATAGTCTAATGCCTATTCAAAAAAACCAGTAAAACCCTGTTTACCTCAAATATTGTGAAAATTCACAAATATGTGGAAATTAAGTAATACACTTGGACAACCAGTGGTTCAAAGACAAAATCAAAAGGAAATTTAAAAAATTTATTGAGACAAAAATGAAAATACAACTTACAAAAATGTATGGGATGCAGCATAAGGAGTACTAAAAGGGAAATTTATAGTGATAAACACCTATGTTAAGAAAAAAGATGTCAAATTACCAACCTAAATTTACACTTAAAGGAACTAGAAAAAAATAAAAGCACAGTAAGCAAGAGTAAGGTTACTATGCAGATTTAAGGCCTTGCTTTCCACATTGACAAGTTTCTAGAGATGTCATCCTCTCTTCTTCCCAGTACAGAGAGGGAGATACTTTTACAAAGGGAGATTTCCCTTACAAATGTAAATATTTGGTAAACAGAACTTTGATAAGGATGGGCGTAGCAAGGACCCTTCCAGTGTATCGATACCCAGAGTTAACTATGGTGATTGCCTGTCCTGGGGAGGGGCCTGTTAAATTCTTTTAGGCAGTTAGTGGGGTGGGGAGGTCAAAGGGTCTTTCAGAAAATAACCAAGGTAAAGAGACGTATTTTGAGGTGGCCAATTCTGATCCCC